TTTCATGGTCCTCTCCAGCGATACTAATGAATTCGATATTGGGGAAATTTTTTTTGCCATACACAACAATCTCAAAATTCTGGAAACAAGATGCAGTTTCGAGATTCTTTTTCCAAGAATGACTGATCATGCCTCGAGGAGGATAGTCATTAAATTTGATTCGATTTAGATTGAGGATTAATCTTTGCTTGGTACGGGTTGATGAACGAATTAAGGTGTCAGCATAATTCGGCCCGCCTTGCATCCAAAAGTGTGAGCCCCCCACTCCCACCTCCACAGAAGGAAGTAGAGTCTCGACCTTGCCTGTGTCGACTCGGCAGTCCCGGTGGACCAGCATCAAGACGACAAGATCGCGGCACTCAGTTCTGTAGAGTGAAATGTGAACAAACTAATATGTTTTCTGCTCAGTTTATTCGGAACAGACCAAGTATCGGTCCAATAGTGCACTTTTATTGTCAGACAAGATTCACTGATGGCTCCAACAAAAGATCACTACCAAAGCTCAGCTAAACTTGAGCTTGAACGACTCAATACCTTCCACGAGAGATCCAAATGCATTTGGAAAACCGTATCCAGCGCAAGTGGTCCTCGGCCAATGCTGCATTCGTTTTGTGTAAAATGCCCCCGAAAAAGAGGAGATTCGTTCTGCTGCTGATGCCTGTCCATGACTCGACATGCAATCATCCCCTTCGAGCCCACGAGCCCAGCGTCAGCCTAAACTCTGATGGACAGCTTTGGACACAAATCACCGAGGTGAAAAGGGGACACTGGTCTTTCGGCTGACCGGTGGAACTGAGTGATCCCCTGACTTCCAGCAGTGCAATACGCTTGAACACACGAACAATGGCAATGAGGCCATGTTGAACTCTTAGACTGGTGGCAGATTGAAACATGTCACTGCGAGAACCTTCCTCCGAATCTAGTGGCCAAGGGTCATAGACGCAACCTAGTGCTCTTGCGTTTGACGGGGTTTTTTAATGTAGATGTGTCTGAGAGAAAAAGACCAAAACACACAAAAAGCAGATTATCTTGACGAGTAATTTCATACCCGTCTATATGCGCGTGCGTGAATATATACAGATGCGCCTGCGCGTAGATAACTATACACCTAAGCATAGAGTCGTACGTGTATGCGTGTGTGTGTGTGTGTGCAAAATATATAGATGAAAAACGGCGCAATTGGCGCAATCACCCAATTAGTTGAAGGATAGCGAGCCGGGCCCGTCGAAGATCAAAGAAGTCGGCAAGGGTGTAGATGAAAAAGAATCAACGAGCTCATTAACGCTAGAGAAAATCTAATTACTTCCTTTCGTGTAGGCATGCATGCGTGTGTCTCTGATTGAGGTTGTGGCCGTGAGAGTGGGGTCAGTATAGGGTCGGTAGGCTTACGCAGCGCCGGTCGGTGACGAGTCGGAAAATGGATGATCGAGTTGGTCTTCGGATTCGAGAACGAAGTGGACGGGACTCGGTTTCCGATGAGGGGTTAAGTTATGTAAAAGCA